CACACACACACAAACACAAACTTATCATAGCATAATTTGTTTTTAAGGAAGTTTTTAACCTCAACTGAAGAAAACCACAGAAACCAATGAGCTTGCAACAGAACACCTCAAAAAAGAGGTTTCTTTTCACCATCTCTGGCTTCAATTTGGTACTACCCTTTTTCCTCCTGACTAAATTCCACCACAAGCATTCTAAGAGTTCTAATCAATCAGCATCAAAATGAAGTAGAAGTGAAACAGAAAACTTACAGGTTTAAAAAAGTAAAAGAAAAGAAAAGAAATATAATGGAAGATAGTTAGTTATATGTAGATTTCTCATTTTGTTTCTAACTTAACATATGAAAATTAATAAAGAAGGTAGTGTTATTTTCTAGACAAGGGAACATCAACCTTCCATTTATTTACCCAACTTACCAACTTACATTTGAAAGGCTTATTAAAATCAAGAGATAGAAGGGGAAAGGTAAAAGAAAAAGGGGCATAAGAAAAACCAAATCTTGATTAAAATGAGGGCAAAGCCTGTATTTTAATTATTGAGGAAAAACATATGGGGTCATCGGATGGCTCCCTTATGGAGCCATCCTAACATTATGTTCTGACACATGTCCAATATGCAGACACGTGTTACTACATCATTTGTGAATAACTATGGATGACTCCATAAAGAGTCATCCGATGGCTCCATAGCAAAACCGAAAAGGAAAAATCACCAACTGAAGCTGACAGATTCATAATGCATCTCTCTAGATTACAATCGACAACCGAGGAAACACCATGATCAATACGAAAAAAATTGTATAATCTCATCAAAATGCCAATAAAAATAAACAAATGATGAAAGAGGACAAGATTATGGTGCCAAGCTACAGCCAGTTGCTGTCCAGGTCTAAAACCGGGCTCATCGGTGACAAGCCCATAATCTGGATGGGCTTTCTCTGTCAGGTTGCAGGCAGTTTTTTGTCTCGCGTCATGTTGGCCTCGATTTGCATGCAAATTTCAAGGCACCTGGACGAAGGTGGCAAGCCTCGTAATGGGGAGGATGAGTTAATTGCATAAAGACCACCCGAGAAGTTTGAAAAACTACAAATTTCACCCTTCACGTTTGGTTCCACAATCCAAGTGTAACGTTGTACACAAACACAAGAGGGTACTTAAACGTATTTTTCGCCATCCATTCAATAGGGTAAAGTGTAACGCCAAGTCCTAAGTCTGCGAGCAATATGGTTTCCTGGCGTTACCAACATATTAAGATAATGTTTCAAAAGAAGCTATAAACATAAATGGGCTTTCAGCTAAACATTGAAGGGCAAAGACGAAAAGGACGACATCATTGGACCAGCCAACACAGTCAAATCCAACAATATTTCACACCTTTTGTTATTCAGAGGTGGTTACTGTTGCCAAACAATTGGAGCAGTTTTGAGCACATTTTATGGGGCAAAAAACCATCTCAAAGTTGCTCATATGCCCTAGAAATTTCTGCTTCATGAAGAATTCTTATTCAAAGACCTCTATATACACTCAAGTGCCATTAAGCAATTGACATCAAATGAGACTCAAATAAGTCACACGAGTCGAGAAACTCTGGCTAATGTGAGGTATACCTGGTGAGAAGTTAAGAACATAATCTTGAAGATTAATAATAACAATATCACGCCTAAAGAAAAGCTTACACAACTAGTTTGATCATTGCAACAACACGTAAAGGAATTAAGAAAAGTTGCTGTGCAAAATGGCGATCTTCGAGAAAGGAGCAAGTTGAGATGAAGTAGACAAAGGATAGAGAATGGCGTTCGACCAAATACGCAACTGCAAGTGAGCATAGTTACCAATACCATACCCATGCTACAAATCTATGAAGAGAACATTGGAAACCACTACTAAAATCAGTAATAACTTTCATTCCACGCTTGATTTATAGCTTACAGAGAAAATCAGCCGAACACAAGACATAAATAAGGATTCTTCAGTCTTTCACATTCAGAATAATTATAGTGGGATCCGTTACAACTACAAACCTTCTTACACATATTATTAATCATTTTACTTACAGCACATGACATCACCATGGGATGAGAAGCTCGAAAAAAACCATCAGGCCTTAATGGACGAAAATCGATTGCCGCCTTTCAAATTATCCTCAGAAACATCCATGGGCAGTCGAGACCACCCAATCACACCATTATTCCTTCTCCTCTGTATAACCACTGATGCAAATAGCAACAAGACAATAGCCGCAAACATAGGCAGCAAAATTGGCGTTTGCCCCTTCTTCCAACTCCCCCACACAGATTCCGAGCAAACCATGCCATCAAAACTACCCATGGAATTATTCAGCTTCCATATCTCAATCCCATTGAGAATACCATCAATGGCTCGTGGCAAACTCATGTTCGAAGGGCCCACGCTCACGGCCAAATCCCCAGAATTTTCAGCACCAACCACAAAATCAGCGTAAAATGGTGAAGCCAGCAGCCAATTCGTTGCATCCGACAAGTCAAGATTTCCATACGCTAGGTTTCCATTTATATAGACATTGAAGTAAAGCATGCCAGTTGCTATACTCGCAATATCACAAAAATGCATGCGAACCATGTACTTGTAGCCTTTTTCTACACTGAACGACCACGTCATATTCACATTGGGGATAGAATTATCGGAACGCTTTACTACTCTTGCGGTGTTGTAAACGTTATCTGGCCCAACTTCCCGGCTAGCGCCACCCGCTCGGTACTTGATTCGACCCCCAAAATGTACTTTTTCGAAGCCATCAGTCGACTTCAGGTACTCGTCGTCCGTGACCCAAGTCCTCCACAGAGAATCATTAAACGGCGTCACTTTGAACCCTCCCACGTTCACTCTGTGCACAGTCTCAAACCCATTTATCAACAACCCATCAACCCTCTCATTCTTTCCAAAATCAACCAGCTGCGCCACGTCAGCAATCAGATCTCGCGGCGCAGAGATCACCTCAATGGCGTTCACGAAGCCGATTTTTGATTTCTCTGAGGGTACGAAGGTAACTTTCAGCTCATCGGCGGCCGCGGCGATCGGGATGGCGAACTCCTTAATCACGGGGAAATCGCCGCTTTGGGGGATACGATAATTGCGCAGCAGCAAAAATCCGTCGACCAGGACATGAAATTCAGACTCGTACAGATTGTGGCAATCGTTTTCAATCGGGTAGAAGTGGAGGCGTACCAGGTGGTGGGTGGTCCCGCGGTCTCTGATGGGGAAAACGTAGTGCGCGGGCCGATCGAAGGCTCTGGCGGTGGCGTAGAGCTGGGACGAGGGTACATGAGCTGGATCCGAGGACTCGATCATTATCGTCCGCGTGGAGGTGAGAAATCGGGAATCGTCGCGGATAAAGGCCCGGTGATCGAAGTCCCGCGTAACTGGGGCGCGTGAGCCGCAGTTGACAAGGTGGTTGTCCGTCGGAGAGAAGGCGGACGCGGAGGAAAGGAGGGAGATGAGGAGAGGGAGGGTCGAGAGGTAAAGGGTTTTCGTCGCCATGGCAGCGATCTTCGATGGTTTTCTGAAAGTAATCATTTTTTGTGATGTTTTTCAACGCTTATGAAGAACTATTATGATTATGATGATTGGTTTGCTGTGTGACCGCGTTTTGTTTAATAAACACGCTTTTTACTGCTTGGGACAGGCTAGCACTCACTAACAAATTCGTGGTTAAGTAGACAGGTCGTCCAGCGTTGGTTAATTAAACCTTTAAACGACCTAATACAATAATCGACACCGCAGAGACCCTGGCCAGCTCGGGGTACACCGCAGAGACCCTGGCCAACTCGGGTCGAGTACATTCATTATGGCTTGAGCAGGTTGATTTTTCGATTTTAGTGACGGGTCGAGTACATTCATTATGACTTGAATAATATGTGGAAGTTTTTTATAAAATACACTAGTACATACCCCGTGCAATGCACGGGACATAGATATTAAATGAATTATTTTCACAGTTGTTTAAGTCTAAAAATAATAGAGTTATCATATATTTTTCACTTGTATATTTTACACCTCTTTCAATCAGCGTTAAATCTATAAAAAAAAAACAATAGGGTTGTAATATATTTTCTACATCTTTCAATGATCGTTATACATAACATTAAATATGAACATGTTAAGGCTAGCTTGTAAAATAATTAATATATTATCTATACATATTTAATTCTTTTTTTTATCGGTTATAAATATTAATTTCTTGATATGAAATAAAATAAAAAAAAAATGTTTGACCATTTGAGTATTAAATCAGCAATAATTAATTTATTAAGCAAGTAAAGATGCAAAACAAAACAATTTAATTATCTAGCAGTTTAGGGTAATATATAGTTGTTTCCTTTATTAAGCATGATTTTTAAAAATAAATTAACATCAACCCCAATTAATGGGCAACATTCACGGTTTTGTTGAAAACCAAAATAACAACATCCTTAATTAATGGGTAGCATTTAATGCTGCCCTTTTATTAAAAAAAGAAAAAAAAAATAAAAGTTACTAAGAATGAAATGTAATTAATGCAAAATGATTTTGACCAAAGTTTGACCTGCTATTTTTTAAAAATGATAAATCTTTTTATATATAGATAGATTTGTGAGTGTTAATTGATCTATGATTTCATTATGTGTGCTAATTTCTGGAAAAAAAATCATTGCGAGAGATAAGACAACTCGTAATAGTAAAAAAAAAAAAGAAGATGCCCACCAAATATCTTAACTATCAAATGCAAATAACTCATATATAGAGTATAGGTATGTTCATTTCCCATTATCCTAAGACATATATTGTTTCCTTTGTATGACTTTGGCCCGTGTACTATTCCAAAAGTCCAATGACATGGTGGGCCTCATCAGGAGAAAGGTAGATAAATTAATGTGTAAATAGTTATTTACACCCCGCTCTAAAGATATAGTTATAAGTTTTTCACACCGCCGCGCTAATTAATAATTTCATTTTTTTGACACACTAAGTGGAAATAAAATTATGTAATAAACCATGCGACAGAAAGACGAGTAAAATTGAGAAAGTGCAAAATAAATATACCATAAATTATGCAACAGAAAGACGAAGAAAATTGAGAAAGTGCGAAAAATATTATGTGTTAAACTATGCGAAAGGTAGATGAAGTTAATTGAGCAAGTCGATTCCATTATGAGATGAACTATGCGACAAATAGGCGTTGTTAATTGAGGAAGTGCGTAAACATTACACAGTAAACTATGCCACAGAAAGATGAAGAGAATTGAAAAAGTGCGAAGTAATTATGCAATGAACGAAGCGACAGACAGAAGAAGATAACTGACAAAGTGCAAAATTGTCGCCTACGGCCTGCCCAAGTTATCTGCAGACTATCCCCTCTGCTCTCATGATAGAGGTGGGCCTGACGGCTGATGACATGCTTTTTGTTCTTAGCCCCCGGGCCAACTTCTAATATGAGAATAGTGAGGACTGTCAGCACATAACTTTGGCAGGCGACACGCGAGAACTACAATCCATGCTTCCCTCATGAAAATCGACATTTTGGGCCGAAACACGCTCTCGGGATTACACAAAATATTGAAAATTGAGAAGACACTGGAAAAATGTAAAAACAAGTGCAAGAAATTGATCTATGACAAAAATGCAAT